TAATTGACTTTCTACTTTCTTGACTTACTGAAATAAATTTGTGTTTCGCTGAAATGCCAGTTTTTATTGAGTTTTTCATTTCTGGTTGCATTATTTGTCATATTTTTTTTGCGAACCTGGAATAGTAAGATTTGTAAATTAACGCTACAGAAAAATACCAGAAACATGACCTATAATTTATATATCTGATACTGAAAAATGTAAAAGATAAAAGTACCACGACTAAATGCAAAATCAAAAAAAAAAAATACTACACATTTGATAAGTTTATACTTTAGCCTCAACTTTTAATCCAAATAGTACAGGTTCTCAGTTTTTTTTAGTTAAATATAAAAATTGCTTTTCAAAAATGTTTATTATTTTACCGGAATAAGCTTTTACTAGGTTGAGTTAGACACTGACGCTTATACGGTAATTTCTGAAATTTTCACCTTTTGTTTTCTGCCAGAAAAATTATTCCACTCACTTATTTGAATTTTTCAACTTTTGTTTTTTTAACTGATAACTAAATGTTCTAGTTTTTTTCAGTTTGAATGTACAGTTGCAAATCTAAAACTCAAAAAATTTGTTTACTAAGTTTATTCTCTTAAAAAAACTCTTCTAATTGAACATATGCCAAAGAGAAATTGAGAAGTGGCATAAAAAATTCTAAAGTAATGATTTTTTCTCAAAAAGATAACGTGTTTATTTTGAGAAATTTCAAAATCAATGCAGGATATTCTGAACCGTTTGTTTTATTGAGGTTAGTAAAGTTTTTTGGAAATAAATTCTGTAATGTATAAATCGGTTCAAACTAAAAAGCTTTAACTGTTGTAAACATACAGTAAAAGATTTACAATAAAGGGAAAACTATACAGTTTGAAGAACCAACCAAAGCAGTTTATTAATGGATAAGATATTGTGGCAAAAAGACAAGTTTCATCTTTGAAATTTTTCTGTTAAACCGTTGCCTTTTTATAATTTTTTAATATATTAGTGAAAAAGGCAAAAAATTAACAGTCAAGTATGCCATAATTCTAATTAGATTTCTTATTAAATTTTATTTCTTTAGATTACTATTTTACTTCCACTGATTAGTGTGCGATGCATATGACAAAGCTGTTTCTTTGCGCTAAAACAGGCAAAGTTGAAGTCGAGCGTAAAGCGGCAAAGTGGAAAGAGGTCTTAGCAAGTGATTGGTCTAAAGCTGTGCTGTAAGAATGTATTTTACTGTCTATATCATTACAGAGACGTTCGTCCCTCTGCAGTGGATAATCGCCAAACCTCCGTTGCGGTAAAGATCGCCAACTGAGGAATGAGGAAAATTCTACTCATTTCAAAACAAGAGGAATCTATTGGTTTTGCGTGCGTTTTTTCTGGATATACACTGTATATTAATTTCTGTATTTTTCAAGCTATCTCTGTGAAGCAACACGAAGCTACTGAGAGGCATTTGCTTCAAGTAAACAAGCCTGTTTTAATCTGTTCGTAAGGAATTGAAATTTAGAATTTCATTTCATCAATGTATTTCTTTCAAATCCTTTTTTAATGTTTCTAGCTGTACGGCTCGCTACAATAGCTTCAAATCGAGGTAACTACTAGAAAATTTTGAACTAATTATTACCTCAACGTCAGATTTGTTAAACGTTAAATGCAGCATTCAGACTGATCGTAGCATGAATTTCTTTGTATGTTATGATGACAAAACGATCTTATGCAGCTAGGCAAATATACATAAGAAGTTTACCGTTAATCTTAATGTATAACTGCTTTAACTAACTTATAAATAATCTATATAGTGCCAGTTGTGTAGAAAAAAAGTTTTATTGTAAAGAATGATTATTTTTAAGAAATTTTGCTACATTATAATACAGAAGCAAAAAAAATGCTGTTTTCTAACTCAGTTTTTTTGTGGGCATTACTCGCATTGGTAAAGCCACTTTTTATCTGCATCTCTACTTATTGTAATAACGTTTATTGTCGGAACAAAAGTACATTTTTTATACAGAATATTCATGACCTTTCTAGAGACGTTTAGCAGTAGTTACACGTCTTCCTACAGTAATGACGCTTCTGTTGCATGGTGTATCCTTTATCCGCGCAGAAACCATTTCGAGCCCATAATGGACAACTGAAGATAACGCAGATTTAGTCAATACAAAAATTTTCTTTCAACATTCTTATTAAAAAAAATATTCCTGTTCAGTAATTTGGGTCTCGATATAGTGTTTACGTAACGTAACAACAAGGAAGTTTTTGGAAAATAAGGTAGTGCTTCGTTTAATGAAAATTTAAGAGTATTTTATAAGCAGAACAACTTTTTTGGATTACTTAGTGATTTCTTTGTTTAAAGAGACAGGTACGCAAACTGTTAAAATTTTCTTACCTTATCATCGAATCTGTACATGCAGTTACATTTGTGGTATTATCCTTACAAAAGTTGCAAGTTTTTTTACATTTTTCTTTCATCATTTTGGCGTATTCAGGTACGTTGCATAAGTTTCGATTTTTATGACATTCAGGAAAGCTGTCAGCACAGTTATCACTGGCAGCAGTTTTTTGCACTATAACATTAAATTTTTTTAAACGCAAATTAGCTTCTGTTGATTGGCACCTACTGAATCATCGTGCTGTATTTTCGGAAATTTAAACTTTGGTAGTAATGTACTGAAGTCACGTTTCAGCTCAGTAAAACTTTTAACTCAATTTTTTTCAACTCTAAACTAAAACTGTCT